GCACCTGCAGCTGGATCCTGAGTGCTGGCTGCCTCTCACGCCTCAGGTGTGGTTGCACACACCTTGCCAGTAATCACCAGGGACTGTGACCTGTGAAGACACAAGCATAATCTCTTCCCCAGGTTATTAAAGGAAATGGTCCTTCCCAGTTACCCCTTTCTAAGGTCTTTGTTAACACTTGAGCTTTGCTCTGGACTTCTTCTTGATCTGGTATCTGTGATGAGAAATGACACAATATTGGTGGCACCTGTAACATAGGGGAATGTTTAAAAGTTCATGACATATAATGCCTTATTTAGCCTTTCGTGAGGTGTACATTGATACTGTGCATCTCTTTTATTGTTGTAACAGACGCTTTAGCTTTAGTGAGAGTACATTTTACTAGAAGTCAATCGTGTCACTGTCTGAGCCCAAAATATTTAAGGGGTACCTGCTGATCCAAATCCTGAGTAATTGCAGCTTCTTGGTATACTATTAGGGGGAGCCGCAGTAAAATAAGCAAGCTGAACAATTTTTGACCCTTTTATTACAGAACACAGGGGTTCAGGCCATAATTCTGATTTTCCTCTTCATAACCAGCATCTACGACCCATGTAAGATTGTAGATGATCTTTTGACAATATTTCCGTCAGGCAGATGGTTCCGAGGTGCACTCTGCCCGCAGAGCATGCACCTAAATTCAAGACAACAATTAACACGGAGTTACTGCCTCCTGTTAGAGGAGGTATTTTACATGTAACACTTAAAACCCTGAGCCCAAACCAAGCGCAGCACCGATGACGCAGCGGGGGGGCACTAGGACCCTGTCCTTGCTCCCTGGCCGCAGGGCTCCGAAGCTGCAGTGGCCGCGCCTCACACACACACACAATCACATAGGCACACAGAGGCGTCCCCCACACTCCTTACTGACACAACATAAAATGACGAATATTACAAAGACTCCATTTAGAACATATAAAGACAGTGCTGCATGACAGTGTCAGCACCTTCTCTGTGGAAAAAAGTGCCTCTTTTGCCGGGGGGGGTGGGGGGGTGCTGGGCTCATCCACAGGCGGCCACTCCGCGGTGTGGGGGGCTCGGGGAGGCCCCGGACCGCCGTTGCCATCTCCATACTGCGTGCCCCGACCACTGCTGGGCCCCGTGGACTCCTCCGTCTGAGTAGTCCCCTCTGAGAAACGTTGCAGTCCCCTATGTGCATCCTTAGATGCATGTTGTTTGGCTTGGGTGGCTTTCATCAATGCATTTGCCTTATCCCAAGTCATCAAGTGCTCTGGATTTCCCAATTTTGCCTGCTTTGTTAAAGCAGCTTTCATTAGAGGCCAGAGCTCTGACTTCATGCAATCCATCGGCTCGGCCAAAATGCCCAGTTTTAATAATCGTTGTAGCATAGCTTTTAAAGCGCTCGACTTCATGGAAGTCTTATGCTGTCTTCCCCATATTTTAAATACCTTGATTGTGGCCTCCCTGGTGCGCCATGGAGTCTCCCGTCCTGCGTGGAGCTCCGTCACCTCCTGCTGTGTGCTGCCGACCACCACCGGTCCGCACACCAAAATCACCACTGCCCTCAGGTCGGGGTCACCATTTGTTGTGATAAGGCATTAGCTGTCTCTTTCTACCTGCCAATCCACAGAAATGTGGTGCTCAGATCACAGCTAACCCTTGCAGGAGGTTAAAACCTTCGTGGGAATAAAAGCACAGACACCAATATGATGGTTGCTACTTGTTCAGCTTATTAGCTGTGCAGTTGCTTTATATATGCTCCTTAAAGGGATCCACCTTAAGCATGGCTGTGTTTCGGTAACATTGTTCTATGGCATGTATGATTGGTTCAAGCAAGCCACCCTAATGCTGCTGATGTTCATGAGGACATAGGGGTAGTATTCAGCTCAAAATTTGGGTGCTTGAAAGGTTAAGTAGTTTGCAGTTCTGTTTAGGCTCATTCTTGCCAGTTCTGAACTGTGCACATCTCTGAAGAACCCTCTTACAACTTCTGGTTTAAGTACAGTACAGCTCTTAAGACCAGCTTCAGGGAAGCTATAATATAAACCTTGGAGCTGAAGGACTGGTACATGAATTTTGGGTAAGAGCAGGACTTCTAGGGTGATGGAAGGAATGCAGGAATAGGGCTAGAGGCTTAGTGAATAAATAAGCTGATGGAAGTTCTTTTGTGATCTTCCATTATTTAGGATATTATCAGAATCCTTACTGTAACTTGTTCTGTTACCTGTAACAACTATTTTATACTCATGTTAGGTGCCAAAGCTGTAATACTGAAAAGCTGCTTCTTCCAGTCTTCACTGCCTTTTGGATGTAGGTGGAAGAAGATACTCTGGACACAGTGGTGGAATAGATGCATCATTAATGAGAGTTGACAATGAGCAGAGTTCAGAATGTCAGCTCTTTTGTTGTGACACCAGAGCAGTACAAGTTGAAATTCTTACAATTTCTGACTTCCATCTATACTAAGGGCAAGTCAGAAAACAGTGTCCTTGGATCTGGGAAATTGGAAAAATTTAGTAGCTCCTTCTGTTCATCCTCAAACAGAAATGTGCGTTGTGTCTGATTTAGCTGCTGATTAAAAGGGACATTGAGAGCACAGCGAGTAAGTTTTCAGACCTATTTTGTTGTCCTAGACTTAGAAAAAAATGAAATCGTGATCTTGGCTGCAGTGCCCACTTGTTTGTGGCACTTGCATAAGGAGAAACAATCATGGTTTCTTCACCTTGTTTACTGAGTTTGGGAAGGCTTTAGAAATAAAAGTGTCTGGACAGCTTGAAATGTCATCTGTCCTCCCAAGTACTAATGCTTAGAAGTTTCAACTGCAAGATAATGTATTCTAGAATAGTAAAACTCAGAAATGAATACTGTAATTCCTTGGAGAGAATGTGGTGACTGCAGTCTGTTGGTTATATAGCCTTCAGAAATCTTAGGCAGATTCCTGATTTGCATATGTCTTCCAAATAATTCTGTCAGCAATGGATATGCTGTTAAATATTAGCCCGGGTAACAAGTTTACTCATAGTTGTTTAGTGTATATGCATGCATGAATATACACTATATACAATATATACTTTGGAACATCACCAATACCATTTTTTCAATCTTGTCTGATGGTTAAAGATTTACTGCGTTTTCTTGGGCTGCTTGTGAACTTCTGCAGAGAGGAAGCTTGAGTACACAAGAAAATGGAAGATAATCTTTCATCCTTCCCTTCGATTGAAATGCATAACTGTTGTTTAATGTGCTTGAAACGAATAGACTGCTGAAAATCACCAGCTGGCTTCCAGAGAGAACTGTCGTTTTGGTGTGTCTGTCTGGCACCTTTGGTCAGCTGTTGGGAATGGGCTTCATCCACTGTAGTATCTTCTCTTTGGGGGTTTTTAGTCCATACACTGTCCAGTGTCCTGTCTTGGTCTGCCAATACTGACAAGAACCTGTGAAATATACTGCTGCATACTCACACTGTGTGTTAAGTGTTTTAAAATTGTACTGTTCATGTACTGGGTGTAAAATATACTGAGTACTAAGCAAGCTGGAGTTGTAGCTGTGAAAAGTTTGAAGGGGAACTGGGAGGAGGGAGAACTGGTTAGATGTCAGAAAAAACATTTTTATTCATGTTGAATTTTTTTTATAGAAGTGAAAGAACTTTTTTTCCTTGCATTTGCTCAGAAGTGCTTCTGCTATTGGAGGAAGGATGTGCCTCAGTATCTCAGTAATCTTATCTATTGCTTACGTCTACTGGCAGCATTTGTACTTAAAAGCAAAGAATGTTTTTGTTAAATTTTACCATGTTACGCTTTTAGAGCATAATTAATTCTATCTAATATTTCTGCAGGGATATATTCAGTGGAACTGGTAAATGACAGCTTGTATGAATGGCACGTTAAGCTTCTAAAGTAAGTTATTAAAGTTTTTATATGTTCTGAAGAATCTATTTTATTATTGATGCACAGAATCTTATTTCTGATAAATGAGACTCTCTAGCCAGATCATATAAAATAGTGGGTGGTGGCTACAATTCTGGTATACAGAAATGTGCACAGAGATTGAACTGTAGTAATTGAGCTGGCAAAACCCTCTTTGCACAGCCAATAGAATATGTATTACTTAACTTTCATTACTGTTCCATTTTCTTTCCAAAACTACTCCAAAATATGAATTATTTTTTTATTTGGTCTAGATTTTTTTGTCTGGGTGGTTTTATTTTGGTTTTGTTTGTTTTTAATTTCAAGAAAATGCAACTTTTGTTTCATTCAAGATACAAGAAGGGACAGAGCTGTCTTAGTGTCATTGGTTCTTTGTTTCTACAGTTGAGCAGACACATAGGACCAAAACTTTTAGGTGTAAAATAAATATGACTTATATAAGTACATAACTTGTCTTCTCTTATGTACTGCTTTTTCACTGTGTGTACTAGATGGTAATTAATCTCCTTGTGTCCATAGTCCAATAACTTTAATTGTGGAGGTATTATATTGAAATTATTCCTAGTAGTGGGATCATCTGCCATCATCCTACACGATAACCTGTAGGAAGGAAAAGCCTATCCAAAGTAGGCTGAGTGGCTGCAAAAGGTAGCAATGGATGAAAGAACTTCCATCAGATCAGATATACCATGGTGAATAAGGACATAAGCTGTTTCAGCACTATAGTTGACCTGCCTGTAGGAATTCTTGCCTTGTCCTAGTGGTAAGACTTCTCACCAGCTGCTGAAACACAGTTTTGTTTCCTTCTTAGTGTAATCATAGGCATGTGAACGTTTTGAAGCTGAAAATGGCAGGAATGACGTATGTCAGAAAAATCTGTGCCATGTTACAGGAGGCCTTGTCTGTCGAGTGCTTCTGTACCAAAGTGCTCAAACCACTGTGCAGTGATGTGAAACCTCTTTTCAAGTGCTGTGAACAGGTCTGATTTTCTGCCTTCAAGAAAGAGAAAATGAAATGCATGCAGCAAATGGCTTCCAGAATGACTAAGAGAAGATAAGAAGTATTGTGTTTGTTTATCCCAGCAAAAAGTGTCTGAAAACAAATGAACTGTGTGCAGACTAGCTGAGGGGGTAAATGTCAGAGAGAAAAGGGCCCATTTGAATAAGGAACAGTGTTGTTCCTAGAATTAAGTAACTCTGATCTGGCCTAGTACAAGCTATGGCTGAAAGTGGTAGGTTTCTAAGCTTTGGGAGATTTTCTTCTGAAACAGCATCCCATTGTTAGGATGGGGACAAACTGCCCAAATAGTTCTGAAATGGGTTCTGATAAGTTTTTGTGATTTCACCTGTAGCAGCAGATTGGATTTAATAGCCCGTCAGTCCCTTTAATATATGCTTTTGGCTTGCTGCAGGTCTCTTTTAAAAGCTGCTGGGGTGTCAGAGCCTGGGTGGGATTAACCCAGTAGTGTCTGAATTAATGTCTAGGCTGCTCACCACCAGCATTTTGCAATAAACAGTTGTTGAAATTCTGCTGAGCAGAAGCTGCTGGCTTTAGTACTTCTGCTGATGCAGATTACTTTTTAACAGCTGATACAGAACTAGGATATATATTCCATAAAGGATTCACTAACTGTGTACTGAAAACTAGATCACTGTAGTCTTCCTGTTAGTTCACCCCCCTCCATTTTCTTAAAACATACATTTTCAGTGAACTGCAGAGAATTTGCTGTTTTCAAATGAACAGGTTATGTTGTACTATGTTCAAATAACACTTAATAGTATTGGGAATGTAGTGCATTGCAGCAAGCTTTCATGCTGATCTTATGGCAGAGTATTTGCTTTGTAAAGGCAGCAAGAGTTTTCTACAGTCCACCTGAAATTAACAGTTTGTAAACTACAAATACATAAAGGAGCTCTTTAAGAGTAATTACTATTTACAGGTAGTGAAAATACTAACTTCATCCAGGGTCTCCTCCCTGCTTCTTTTATAGGGTTGATCCTGATAGCCCACTGCATAGTGATCTTCAGGTCTTAAAAGAAAAAGAAGGTGTAGAATACATTTTACTCAACTTCTCTTTTAAGGTATGTGTCTGTGGGAAGAAATGCTGGGGTTAAATTTGAAGCTTACTGTAGAAAGTGACTGAGATGACCCTCAGCTGTTAAAGCTGGTAAAGATGGAGCTGTAGCATTAGAAAAAGGAAAAAAATGCATCTTTTAAGCTTGGCACTAAAGCTTCCCATAAATTGCTTTTTAGCCAGTACTGTGGAAAAGTGATTTTTACAGAACTGAAAAATTTTACCGCTTCAAAGCTGATTTGCCAAATAAGGCTACTGAAATACTTTCTGGTTAGGAAAACAGTATCACAGTATATTTCTTAACCTGTTTTTTGTTATGCCTTTCAGGATAACTTCCCTTTTGATCCTCCTTTTGTGCGAGTGGTGTCTCCTGTGCTCACAGGAGGGTAGGTTTGAGTTGCCTTACAGAAATTTTACTTGATGGTAAAAATGTTACAACATGCATTGGTTGCAGGGTTGGGTTTGCAGGGAACATTTTGAGGCTACCATGTAGACTTCAAGAAATTTCCTCTAAACATAGACATGAGCTGCTGTAGACCTTGAGTTTGATGAAGAGCTCAAATTATGATGTGGAGACTTGCTTCTGAAGCTTTATGAGCCAATAGTAGGCAAACAGCTGGGTGCAATTCTTCTTTGAATTGCTTAGTTCATGTCTAGCTTTAAAAAAACTCTGTGCCTGCCATAATGTTTAAGAACTGGCCTCTTTGTGGATGGTTAACATCGTTGTTACTTCTGTTGTGTAGGGTGTTTTGAGTTGGTGCTTTGAAAGGGTCTTGATGCCTGTGTTGCCTTAAAACTTGCTGTATAGTCTTACCTCTTGCTGGTAACACTGCCTTAAAGCTTTTGTCCCAAAACTCATCAAATGCTAATCCAAAATTACTAAATTTAATCAACACCATGCTCCAAAAGTCATTTAAAATGCGTTTGAAGTGCTGTCCGTGGCACAGAACCTTGTATATATTCATGGAGAGAAGATTAAATTCACCTTCTATTATACCTGTACGTTTGAAAATGCAGTCTGCGATAGCTTCTGCTGATTCTGATTTGATTTTAATAGCTGCATGTCTTTTAGCTTTCAAGTAATAGTGCAGTTTAATAGCATTGATGAGGGTTGCTGCGATCGAAAAAGTAAACAAGCAGTACCAGACACCAGAAAACTCATTTGGATTCTGGTTTTGTTGTACTTGGACTTCTTTGTAGAATGAAAGTAAGAATGGCCCAGAAAGTTTTCAGTTGTCTGTTCCCTATGAATGTCATACAGCTACATGTTGTTTGAATGACCTGATCGTAGGGGAGACTACATTTTTTGGAGTGGCAAATTCTACTCCCTCAGTCCAGGTTTTGTGAAGACCAGGCATTCTGACTCTCAGTCCCAGTCAGCACAATGCATGATGAAGTGTTACGGAAATTATAAAGCGGTTTATAGGAAAAGAGCAAGTGAAGATCTGTTTTATCTATTTTGTCTACATCTTTGATTTATAAGTGCACCCACATTGTTAGGAAATGTGTTAAATTTCTTTACGGAAGGGAATTTGTTCGGGTGTTTTTACAACTACCTGTCAGTACTATGTATATACAGTGCAGCCATAAAAAGCAACCTTCCTTTTTTCATGGTCTGTGTACAGTTGTGTAAGCAGCTGTGCAGACAAGCTTGACCACTGATTTTAACTAAGTGTAGTGAGCAAAGAAAAATCTCTTTGGTCTCTCAATGCTAATCTTCTTTGCATAAGTATAATATGGCTAACGAGTTACAGTATATTACTGATTAAAGGGCACTTCAGCTTTATGTGAACAAGAAATTTAACAAACTAGCTTGCAAGAGCTTAAAGTGCTGTGAACAGTTTCATTTTTTTGTTACTAACTGTTGATGTCAAATATATTTTCTTTCACATTTGTTTTTAGGTATGTCCTAGGTGGAGGTGCATTATGCATGGAACTTCTTACTAAACAGGTGAACACAGGCTCTGTTATCTGGACAACAGCAAAGCATGCTTTAAAATAATGAAAATAGGTGTTTCCCCTGAGTATGAAGAATCCCTCTGTGGAATAAATTATGCACTCCAAAGGGAACATGGTGGAATAAACCTCAGTCCCACAAGATTTGCCTTGCTGATCTTGTGTGAGATCTTTTCTGTGTGTGATCTTTTCTGCCTTGGATGGCTTACAAGAGGTCTGAGGAAGAGGCAAGAAGTGAGAAGCACATCAACTTTAAATTCTCCATATTTCTGAGAGGAAGCTGGTGTAAAGAGTGGAGCAAGACACTTTTTTTTTCTTTTCCAGAAGCCTCTGCACAAAGTCAGCTCTGGAGAAGTGAGGAACACAGAAGATTCTAGGCATAGATTACTTCTGTGTAGACAGTGATTGGTTTTCTTTTTAAATAAGTAAATGAATGAAGTATTTGCAGGCTATAGCAGAAACTTTTGTGAACCCTGGAAGGTAAAGCAATGCCAGAGACAGCAGTAATTTTCACGGGAGCAGAATTGTCACAGCTCACTGAATGGCTTCATTAGATAGCAGTCTTTTCTACTTCTTACAAGAAGTTGTAATTTCTGTTGTGACATTGCTGGAAATGTGTAAATGCTGTAATAATAGAGCTCTTCTTGTTTCTATCTTGCTGAATTTTGGAAATGTGTGATTCAGCCTTTTAATTTTTTCTTACAAGTTCTTAGTACTAATACTGTGTATCACTTTCCAGATTTTTCTCTGGAAAATAAAAGTTGTTAACTGAAAACAAGGAGTTAAAACTAAAACTGTAGTGCAGGGGAAAAAAAAAAATCCCAAAGCACGCATTCCAAAACAGATTTGCAAGGTGAGCACACGAAGCAAGTACATGTTATATAGAAATATTTCCTTCCTCCTCCAGGGCTGGAGCAGTGCCTATTCAATAGAATCAGTCATCATGCAGATCAATGCCACTTTAGTCAAAGGAAAAGCCAGAGTACAGTTTGGAGCCAATAAGGTAAATGCGCTGTGTATATCACACAAATTACTGATAGGCTTCCCTTTCTTTGCTGACTTGCATAGGAGATGCTTAATGACAGAATTGTCATTGCAAATATATTTGCATTTTGATTTATTTTGATGTCTGATGCATGTATGAGTATCTTATTGGCAGTTAACTATGAGTTTGTTAAGAAGTGATGAATGTATGAGGAGGATTAAAACCTTGGGATGGGCAGGGTGTGCAAGTAGTTAGACTTGTACTATCCCTGTACTGGCAAGGAGGGGAGGAAGGAGGGTTCAGAATTGGAGATCGGAAGGATTTGGGAATTCTGGCTCTGAGAAGGGCTATACATAACTACCTGACTGCTGGGATCACATATGATAATGTTAAGAACTTCTTGTCTTGCTGGACTAAACACCTACAAAGTTCCACGAGAAGGTGAAAAATAATACCATGCAAATACTTCTGAGCTAACCATTCAGCATTAATCAAAATCATAATTCAGTTCAAGTGTGCATGCTGGTAACGGACTGTGACTTTAAAAGACTTTGAAGTGCTAAATGCTGGTTTCAAAGGATGTTTAAATATTTAAGTCAATGAGATTTGTCACTTGGATGCCAGTTTTTAAGTACTGATTCAAGGATTGCGAACTAGGTAAGATGTAAAAGTTTATGGTCACAGATTCTAACCTGGTAGCTGGTCACGGTGGGGATTGCCTGCAGCCTGCTGCTCCAGTTACACGCACTTCTGACTTACCTCGGGTTCTCAACCCTCTGAGAGAGGAGCCTTTCCAGCAGCAGGGGCGTACAAATTACTGTCATTATAAAGGAGGAGAAATAAGAAAATAAGGGTAATTGTCTTGAAAATCTTGTGCTTCAAAGCCAGGAGAGTTGTAACATTGTGCATGGTTTTTATTTGTAAGCCCACTATAGAGTTTCTTTGTAAAACTGTTTTTAAGTCTGGCGTGTCTAGATGCAGGGTTTTTATGTTAGCTTTTTCTCCTTTCAGAATCAATATAATCTAGCAAGAGCACAGCAGTCCTATAAGTCACTAGTACAAATACATGAGAAAAATGGTATGTATATTCTTGCAACTTTGTTCTTGTCCGCACAACAACCTGGGAATTGATAAACTTGCAGTAAAACTTGAAGTGCCAGAGTGTCTTTTGTTGTCTTGGGAAGACCATAAATGGTGTTTCCTTTTTCTCATCTTGCACTAGGCAGACAATAGTGCTTTAAAGTAACTTGACTAACAACCATTACAACTTTTCCAGCTTACATGAATGTTCCATGTGTTCCAACTGTCTTTTGAAAGGTAGTTCAATTTCATTTTTTGCGGGTTGATCTAGGAACTTCATTGTTACTGTAGCTTTTAAAGTGTCTTATTTGTTGGTGAAGTACCTGTTGGAAGCTTGCATCTTTCCCTGAAAGGCTTTAGTTTCAGTGTAGCAAGACCTTAGTAGTAGTAACCCTTAAGGAAGAGATAAAATGGGAAGAAAGACCAAAGACTCAAAACCACAGAAAGTCCAAGTGAAGTGTGCTGGCTGGAAAACCATGCAATAGAAATGAGACACACGGGGTTTTTTTTACCCTGTTTGAAGTCAGTTAATGGTCTCAGCTGCACAAAACAAGTACTGAAGTGCGTCGGGTATAATTGCATTCGTTGTGCCAGGATGAGAAGACTACAAATGACCTGAGGCTTTAAAAGGTTTAAGTGGCTTACATGTTATGTAAAAGTAGTCAGCAGAATTGGTACCCTGGTCTTGTGATGAGGGAGTTAGTCCCAGTTACTGCTTCCGTGATGTTCTTTGATCACGGTTGGACAGGGTGTCCTCGGGGAATTCATGGGGCTGTGAACATGAGAGCATGTTTCAGAGTGACTGTAGTGAGCACCTTGGTTTCCCTACCTCTAAAACTGAACATAATGCCTTCTCTACTGCTGGGAGGAAGATTAAAGATAATGACTTTAAAATGCTTTCCAATTTTACGATATTTTGATCTTGCCATTAACTGAGTCTTTTGCTTTTTTAGTTTGCTACAAAAGCCAACATGGCTGTTTTCTTCTAGCTATGTGCTAGCTTTGACTACAGTGATTACTGCTGCGTCAGGAGCTGTACACAAAGCATTCACAGCATTTATTGCTGCTGCCAAAGGTGTCTAACTTAGAGCTGCTACCTGTTCTCTGGGACAACATAAACAGGCCCTGTATTCACTGTACAAAAATTTAGAGGAAGTTTTACAGTAGTGGCTGGGGAATTAAGATTGGATATCTGGAGGTGGCTAGAAAAACTATGCACACTTGATCAGGTATGATTCAACTGTTAAACGTGCCAGATCCTATTGAGACAAGTTACTAACTGATATTTCTGAGCCTATTCCTACAGCAAGATTTGCAGAAGTAGGGTAAACTGTTCGGATGCTTGTGCATGCCTGACTCTTCAGTACGCAGGATGGGATTTGTATACAAGTATCCCAGTGTAGTCATGTTTGTATGTGTGTGCATTAAGTGGCTTGAAGACTTGGGAGTTTTACCTCGATTCCATTTGGTTTTGTTAAAGCAATGTTCCTCCTTGAACAGCTTCCTGTCTTGATGTCCAGCTTGTCCGACTCAGGATAGCTGTGGCCGCAAAAATCCCCAAACTTGGAAGTACTCGGTTTTCACACCCAAATCCTGGACATGTCACATGCTTTATCTCCTACTGCAGACCATTAGAGTTTAGGGCACTGGGTCTGGCTGAGCTGGCCTACTTTAGGAGGGAAGGAAGGAGCCAGATTAGGCTTCAATCTCCCACAATTGAGAGTTAAATGGTAAGATTGTTTTGGTGTTGCAATGTTGGTACCTGACACATTTCTCTGTTCTCCCTAGGCTGGTACACTCCTCCAAAAGAAGATGGCTAACATTGAGGACTCTTGTATACCTGGACCAATGTCAACAAAACAAGCTCTTTTTTATGTTTTCCAACACACAGACTCAAGCTATGAGTGCCCCTATAACAGCTGTACTGAAGACTTTAGCTATTAGATAAGTTAGTGGATAATCTTGTCAACTGACACGTAAAGTATAAGTTACAGCCTTACCATTCCGCTCTTCTTAGGTATCTGGACTGAGCAGTTTGGGCCTTTACCATATTTGTTCTTATGGATTAGGCATATTTGGGCCACGCCCTCCCTTCTCCCTTTTTTTTATTTGAAAGCATAAACTCCCTACAGCAGGCTATCGACTTACTAAAGATCATTCAATAGGAGTGAGTTGTTCACACACTTTTGTGTATTTCTTACTTTTTGCAAAATGCAGACTGCAGAGACTTGCGTTGTATCGTTTCATTTAATGCCAAGAAGTTTAATACATTGTTTAATACTGTTTTAGGAAATGTCAGGTCTTGCAAATCACAGTAGTTTTTCTGGTCAAAAAAGACAGCATTTGTAGTATTTCCAAATTAATGATATAGGAGAAACACATGTATGTTAAGTCATTAAACATTTTTCATGGCTGTATGAGAATATGAACTGTTTCTTGGAAAAGATGCTCTTTTCTTAGATTATGTTAATTTTTTGGTTTGTTTTTTTTTTTGTCTTTTGTTTGTTTGTTTTAAGCAAAGCAAGGCTGTGCCAATAAAACCTTGTAACTAGTCACTTCCACTGGGGCATCAGAACTTGCTGGGCTGTTCCTGCTACTTGTTGGCTCAACCTCCTTAACAAGAAGAGCCGCAGTATGAAGCTTGAAGTTATTTAAAATACTAAAAACCTTTTTAGGTGTTCCATTTTATTAACGGGTTGTTGCAATCATTTGTAAACTAATGAACTTATAAAGTGATTGGCACAAATTGAGATGAAAATCCTTGAATGAAAAATTTTTATATAAAAGCTACAATAAAGTACAAAAACACATCATCTGATTCAGAGGTTTAAGAAATGTTGCCATAGTCATGACCGTGGTTTTGTTATTGAAAGACGGATGGGAACTGTTCTTTCTTTATTAGGAAATGAATCTGGGTCTGTGTAATTACACTATGTTTCATTGCCTTACCTAAATCGATTCTATTTTGGTTGTAGTGCTAGTCATTAGGCCTTTGCACCCCTCTGGGGCTGAGCTAAGGGTGTGTACCATGGATCAAGCACTTTTTAGACGCGCAGAAGCATGTTTTTGTTACGGTTTTTTAGTTGACTCTCTGATTTGTGCTCTTTTCTCTATCATGCACCCACGGGTCCTCGTGCATTTGCTTCTAGGTCCGGTTTTTAGGTCGAAAGAAAGGCGGGGAGAGGTTTGGCACTGCTCCCCGCGCGCATCGCTCGCGGCGGGTGACGGCCCGGCCGTTCGCAGCCTGCGGGCGG